AGATGATGGTAGACTTATAAATTAAATGATATTCTGTATTTACATATGTAGCTACAAATGGTTTAATAAAGTACTACTATGACTGTTTAAGGGAAAAAAAAAGTTAATATTCATAATATAACAACTTGAATATTTCAATTTGTCATACAATAATTTTAAAAAACTTATAAGTTAAATAAAAATAGATATCAATATAAGCTAATTTAGATATATATATATACAGTACCTTTTTTATAATTATAAAACAAAAAAAATTCAAGCAGGAATAATTAAACTTATAAAGGTAATCATATTTTAAAAGTTCTAATATGATTCAATTGCCATAATTATATATAAAGTACTAATTTTTTCAAATGATAATTATGTCCAAAGAGACTATTGCTTTGAAGAAACCATTCACACCATATATAAGATAATATAAAAATAAGATTTTTATTATAACAATAGTAATACATTTTATTAATGCATTCAATTCATATTTTTTGTTAATCTGTTATAAAAATCTTATTCTCTTTTTGGTAATAGCATGTTCTTATTAAAATATTTTGTTATAAGATTTTGATATCTATATGAAATTCTTTATCAGCTAGTTAAAAACTAGTTTTTTTTTATTTGCATTTATTAGATCAAGCAAAACTAATTATCATAAAATATTAATTATATTGCATTGCTGATTGGTTTTGACTGAATTATATCAAACTATCTTCAGATTTTTTCATAATAATAGTTTTGGTTCTACTGTATAATTAATATGCCACAAGCATAATTGTATATTGATATTAGATTATATAGTTCTAGCAGCATTAATTTGATAAAAATCTTTATTAATATAAAATATATTTATATTTGTTAATTATTGTGTTTTTAATGTTAAAATCATGTAAAAATAGTATAAGTAAGATTATGATTCTTGTCAGCTAATACAAATAAATATGATATTGAAAATTCTGCATTATCTATAATTGCTATAACACTATACAATTTATATTTTAATTTGTTTATATTAAAAGTAACATTATTCATTATTTTTATTAATAAATTTTGTAACAATATATCTATGAATGATGATATGAAACCAAAAATATGGTTTTCAAAAAAAAGAATTTCTTAATTTTGTGTTTTAAGAAATTTTTTTATAGAATTAAGTTCATTATTAACATATTGATATTTTCTTTATAATATTAATGTTTATCAGTAGTATACTTGTTTATAATTAAAAACTTATATCTATTTAATTGCTAATTTTTAATCAATTAATAAATATCTGAAACATTTTGATTAATTTAGATATTTATATAAATTTTGATTTCTTCTGTTACATTTAATTTTTCTGATTAAAGATATAAAACTTTATATAAAATATCAACAGATATAAGATAATTATTAAAATAAATTATTGTAACCAGACCTTTATAATTATAATGATTAATCTATGTTTCAGTATTATGTTGTTTTGTAATATTATCAATCTTTTTGTAATGCTTATATAATTTATTTCTTAAATTGCACCAATAAGTAAATATTGCAAATTTAGATAATTTGTTATTATATATTGAATGAAAAACATATACTGTACATATCCATCTCCATTACTAATCATATTTATAATTAAGTTAGCAATATATAAATCTTTATCTTTTTTAGTATAACAATATCAACTAAAATTTCTTCATAAATTGAATCTGAATCAATAAAAAATTGAAGGTGAAAATGCATATGTCCTTCAAAATCTTCATTTAAGTTTTCATATTCAATAAGATTATTATAAACATAATCCATGACATCTGCAAGATTGATAATATTTTTCTTTTCAATTGAAGAACTATCAACTTCTTGATACTTTCATTTTTTTGCATAAGATGTAGAAATGCAACAATTTAAACAATGACTTTAAATATCTTCATTCATTATAAAATATGCAAATGACTGAATACTTCAACACCTTGTGCATGTTTGTGTTTCACTTAAAGAATTTTTATTTTTCATTAAAATTTTATTTCTGTTACCGTTATTATTATCGTTATTAATAATATAAATATTAATTATTACAGTAATCAGTTAATCAGTCAAAAATAATTCATGGTCGGATGATTGGAGATCATGTGACTGCGCCCTCGATTTGTGGTGATGCTGGGACTTTTCACACCTGGTGTGCAGCACAGAAAAATTATTTTACAAAACCAGATCATTCTGCTAGTCCATGTTATGGTTATACAGTAGCGTAACATTGACGGTTCCTCCTGCTCAAAACAAGGAGGTAGTGTATAAAGTAGTACGGTACGATTGTACAAATTGTACGGACGTACGAAAATTGTGCAAAATTTTGATAGTACGCACTTACGGTAATTTTATAAGCTATTATCCATTTGGTATGAGGATGTGACGAATCATTGAGTGGGCTAATAAGAATTAAGAAATAGAATTATTTAGTTAATGCTTATTCGTCACGTCTTCATGTCGAGTGAATAAGTAAACCCTTTTTTGGTTTAGGGTTATGGAAAGTGTGGGCGTTGTTATTTTTCATGTGAGTTCTAGGAAAAATAGCTTTGTTTCGAAAGAATTTTTTTCTTTTACGAAATTATACGTACTATCATAGACAGAAGTTCGTTTGATTGGCCAATAAATTCAATTTAATTTTACATTATTTATATAATTTAGAGTACTTTATAAAAAAACGAAAACCGACCATAGTAAAGTAAAAAAAAAAAACATATAAAAGGTTTCATTAGAGCTGTAGGACTCAATAGTCAAAAATAAGATCTAATTCTTATTTGTTTAGAAAAATTAGCTTAGTAATAAGTTGATTTTATTGGGGTTTGAGAAGTTATTACTATACTATCTTTTTAGTTAAAAATGTACTCTAAACTGTATAAATAATCTAAAATTAAATTGAATTTATTAGCCAATCAGACAAACTTCTGCCTATGATACTGTTACTGGCGAATCGGTGGGATTACACACACACCGACCACAAGAAAAGCTACGGATTGTCGCTTGGAAAACGATTATGCCGCGTAACGTTCCTCAACGTTCTAGAGGCGGAAACGATTTGGCACAAGGTTAAGGCGA